TAAAGATTGTTAGATTTATTTCTGACCAGTGAGATATTTCAAAACTGAAACCTCCTGCACCATTTAAATGTTAGAATTACAGACATCAATTACTAGGCAACTTCGTTCCTAACCCTTAACAAGTACCGTACCACCTCTATCATTGGTAAAAAGCAAAAATCACAGTTGGAAAAAAAGGGTAAAACTTTAAGATTTGGAAATTAAGAATGCAATAATGTACAGCATAAAATACAACCTAGTTTAGAACAAAATTTTACTCAATCACAATCAGATCATAAAGATGTTTCTGAGGCAGAGAGTAAACTAATGTGACGCAAACAATCAGGGTTTCAAAACAGCAAAGAACAGTGTTGATCATAATTAACATAACTGGTAATTCATAATCTTAATTGTAGTGCCAACAAGGTAAATTTGACACTCCATCAGTCTTTTATGCTGAAAAGAGTTGTACAAATTACTCTGATGGTGTAAGGTCTTGTTCTGGTTCTCCTTCACTAAGCAACTGTTGCAGAAGCTCAGCTAATGGCTCAAAGGCCTTCACATATCCAGCGTTGGTGAGATGAAGATAATCATACATATCATGGTGTGATATTGTACCATCAGGCTGGACAAGTCCCTGTCCAATACTTAACACCTCCACTTTCCTCATTTCTTGAGCTCTTTCCCGCACAATGGCGTTGATAGCTTCGTTTTTATCTCGAAGTGGATTAGGAAGGTAGCCTCGAGGTAACAAGCTCTGAAAAAGATTCAATGGAATTAAAATGACCAGAAAAATTTGTATGGTGACAACTGCATGGTACTCTACTTGATATTTGATAATTACCAGCAACACTATGTAGGCATCTGGTTGTTTTTCACGAACAAGTTTAAGTACTTCAAGGACTCCTCCAGCAACTTCCTCAGCTGATTCAGTATTATTTGTCCCAATTAAGACAACAACAACCTTGAATACAATGATAAAACAAATAAGAGGAAAGAAATATAAAGAGGCGAGCAGCAAATATAAAATAGCACACTTACTTTGGGTGTAACATTATCCAACTCTCCATTCGTAATTCTCCATAGAACATGTTGAGTGGTATCTCCTCCGATTCCAAAGTTTAATGCATGCATAGGTGCAAAAACTTGGTTCCAATAGTCCATGTACGCAAGGTGTTGAATGATAGAATCACCTATGAAGATAACTTCAGGCTCTTTCTCTTTTGCTTCACAAACATAACGGTTGTGCTAAAACAATTAAAATAATGAGTAAAACGGTTGTGCTAAAACAATTAAAATAATGAGTAAAGAGGTCAATAACGAGAGAAAGTAAAGAATAAATTACAGGCAGTGTTCTCTTGAATGAAATAACTCATTAAGAATTTACTTGAGTAAGTAGCTTCACTTGGGTATGTAGAAAAAATATTACCAGTACCAATCAAGAAATATTAAGGGCCGATATTTAACTCTATGAAAATCATGGGAAGAATAAAGTGTTTCCACATTAAAAACTACGCATATAGAGAAAAATTGAGTTTCAATTGCCATAGTTTGTCCATCATACTGAATGAATTAAGAGCAGAACTTACAACATTTATCCACCTTCCATCCTCTGCGTCAGGTTTAGGAGTAGGAATAGCGGCAGGGTTCATGTTGGTTTCTTTCCAATTAAATTTCTCTACTTTCTACTATAAAAATAAACAATTCTTCAATGACAGATAACCTCCTTGTTGATAGAGAGACAGGAACCGCTTTGAGGGGGGGGGGGGAAGTAGCGCTATTGCTGTCCCTGTTGCGGTTCGAAACGGTAACCTCTTAGAGGCTACGCTGCCAAATCATGAAAAATACTTTTTACGACTTGCGCGCAACCGCGCAACTCTGCAAAAACTGAGTGTGCAAGGAAAAGTGTAAAAGCTTGAGCTCTCAAGATAAAGTCTTGTTTCATGTGTTTCTAAATCTAATTACACGAATTTTTGAGTCGATTCTGCCCACAATGCTGCAGTTGGTGGCAAAATATAGGTAGATGTTGGGGTTTTTATTATTTTGATATTATAGGTGTTTCATTAAATAAATAAAAAAACAGAGTTTAGAAATTAACATTTATGAAAAAATATGAGAACATAAACAAAGCCAACTTAGGTAATTATCCAGCATGACTTGAGTAACCTTTTTACAAATTTACAAAACACGTAAGATTTGAACCTTGAAAATCTTACAAAACATACACAATGTCGTCTATATACAAACAAGCTGCAGTTCATGTGCTCAAATCAAGTTGATCTTAATGTCTGGTCCATCTTGAACAGAAAGATTACTCTTAGAATAAAGAGACAGGCTCCTCACAATACACTGATTGTCAATTGTTCAAATCTTGAAAATGTATCATGTTAAAGTATTAGTTAATAGAAAAGAAAAGCAAAATGAGAAGAAGGCACTAAGCTCTGTTATTACAGGGAGATAATGCGTAGCACATACAACCTAAAATACAATGAAAGGGGAATTCCGCAGAATGCAATATTCTTAAATACAGATACAGTAATGATACTGGAACTTGAAAAAAAAAGACATGTGTAATGAATGAAAGAGAATGCCCCGTTTATCCGACAAGTTATTTGTCCGACAGTCGTAACTAAGCAAATAAATTAAATAAGTGAGGTATTACAACAACAGGGAAAGGGCTCGTTTCACTTGTCCGACAGCCGGAGTTGCTTTTTAAACTTTAATAGCGCTAAAAATACTAGAACAAGTAGTTGCTACGGTAGGGTTCAGTATCTGGAACTATAATAAGTTGTTACAGTAAGTAGGAGTTATTACAATAACTCGAAGTTTTTCAAATAACTTTCGCTGGGGCGTCCGGCGTTGTTCCCGGGCGGCCGAGCCACGGCCAGGCCTGAGGCCCAAGCGCTGAGCCGAGTATAGCCGAAAGGCCTCCCGAATACGGTGCCGGGCGCGCCAGCGAAAGATATTTGAATAACTCTAAGTTATTGCAATAACTCCTACTTACTGTTACAACTTATTATTGTAGTTCCAGAAACTGAACCCTACTGCAGAAACTACTTTTTCTAGTATCTATTCAAGTTTGAAACGCAACTCCACCTGTCGGACAAGTGAAACGAGCCCTTTCCCTGTTGTTGTAATACTTTATTTATTTAATTTATTTACTTAAATGCGGCTGTCGGACAAATAAC